CGAATCCTTTCACATTCTTGAAACATCTTTGTAATTGTTAGTTCTGAATTTAAAAGCGAACCGATAGAATTTGAATTTTGAAGAAATGTATTTTTCAAACCACGAAATGATGATTTATCTTTTTCAAATCCTTTAAATAAAAATTCGTAAGATTTGGACAAAGATTTACTTCGATCAATAGAAAATATTGTTAAGTTTTTAAATATTTGTGCTTGAATTTGAATTCTTCGAATTTCACGTTCAACTAAGAAATCTTTGATTCTCGAGTCTGGATATGACATGAATCGTTCAAGAACCGTTCTTAATTGTGAAATATCAATATTTGACGGTAATTTATTTTCTACATTAGTCTGAATCATTCTTGGTTTAATTTTGAGATTTCAAAGAAAAAGATGCAAATTTTTCCCGAAAAAGAATAACCTTACATCATAAGCTTATATCAAATATATTTAGTAATAAATTAGTTATGTAGATTTCGTGTAACCTGAGCGAGCCGTGATAATAAATGTTTAATATTTACCTACTATGTTCAGAAATTTTTTATCAAACATTTGCTCAATCTAGAAAAAACTTTTATCCACAGTTAGTTTTTTTTTTTTTTTTTTTATAGAATTTCAAGATTTAAGAAAAAACTCTCAGCGGGTTCTTTTCTAAAGATAGCGAAATTTTATCATAGATTTTCACTTTTGAGATTCGAAATCCATTTATTATAAGTCGAACTAAGGATTCCGATTCAAAATCTATACATCTATAAAACATATACAGTACAATCGCCTTCCTCTATTCCGAACTGGCTATTCTAGATATCCTTTGTTCGTTATAGAGTCCGTTATATAATTTAGATTCGGTATAACAAATTATATACTAATAAGATTTATATAATAACCAGAGGTAGTTTAGGCTTAATATATATGGATTGACTCAAAACACAGAATCCAACAAATACTTTATGGTATTTCAATACGCAGTCTTTATAAATTTTAAAGAATGAAATTTCGAGATCTAGATCAAATTCGTAGAGCAGGATATATTCAGGCAGACTTTCATCAGTGGTAATATTTGCTTACATTTCAAATCTAGGATTACTGTATCTAAAAAAATAGTTCAGGTGATATTTATGGAGTCTTATGAGATTTTTTAATGGGATAGAAATTTACATCAACTGCTGATGTTATCGCTCCAAAAATCAGTTACATATTTGATACTAAATTGATTTCGATATATTACTTCGTATGATGTCTTAATATAATGGTAGAAACGACTTACAAAAAAAAAATATTTTTGTTGAATACAAAACACATAATTTTTTATTAAAGCAACAATATTCTGATTATAGTATTCTATATTTT